TTGCGCGAGGCGCGACCGCGTGGACCCGCTTGGTGCCGCGATCTCCAGGTTTCATGTCGCCGCTTCCTCGGCTCGCAGCGATGAAGCAGGGAACGGTAGTTTCGACGTTCGAGGAGGCGAAGAACTTGAGGAGTGACGCTGTGGCACCGCGGATGCGGTTCGCGCCAAGTCCAACGGGTTCACTTCACGTCGGAGGAGCCCGGACGGCCTTGTGCGTCTGCTGCGTCCGTCAAGCTTGGTAAAAGAAACGCTATGAGCTTCTGCATTGATTTCGTCAAGGCAAAACCAGATTAGCGCTGTGTATCTGCAATGATTTCGTACGACTGGCACGTATAGGTACAACTGGCTTGCTGCTCGTAAGGCAGTGGATGGCAAGTTTCTTTTGCGAATCGAGGACACCGATGTCGCCCGTTCTACTCGCGAGAGTGAAGATTCGATGCTCGCTGACCTAGAGTGGTTGGGCCTCGACTGGGACGAGGGGCCTCGTGTGGGTGGTCCGTGTAAGATGTATCGACAGAGTGAGCGTTCAACAATATACAAGGAAGCGGTCGACTTACTCGTAGCATCTGGCCATGCGTACCCTTGCTTTTGTTCCGAGGAGGAGCTAGAGGAGAAACGGGTGAAGGCAAAGATCGCTGGTTCTCAAGTCGCCTACGATGGGACCTGGCGCGAGGCAGACCCAGAGCAAGTGCGGGAGAATCTCGCCGCCGGTCTGCCCCACACTTACCGCTTTAAGGTGCCAAAAGGCAAAGTGGTCAGCATCGACGACAAGGTGTGTTGCCTGCTTCCTTGATAGTGAATCGTAAACCCGTGCTGTCGTAGGTTCGGGGGCGTGTTGAGTGGGATGTGCAGGCAACGATTGGCGACTTCATCTTGCTACGATCGAGTGGAGTCCCTGTTTATAACTTCTGTGTTGCAGTCGATGATGCGCTTATGGGTGTCACAACCGTGGTTCGTGCAGAAGAGCACCTTACCAACACAGTGCGTCAACTCCTTGTCCTTGAAGCCTTGGGATTCACAGCACCTGAATACGCACATGCTTCCCTCATTCTTGGCTCGGACAAATCAAAACTTTCTAAACGCCACGGTGCAACATCATGTGGCCAATTCCGCGAGAAAGGCTACCTCCCCGACGCAATGGTTTAAGTTCTGTGCCGTCTTTACTCGCTATTGCGTTTGCGTCGACAGTTTTGTTGGCGTAGGTGAACTATCTCGCCCTCCTCGGTTGGAATGATGGCACAGATAAGGAAGTCTACTCACGCGAAGAGCTCATCGAGGCGTTTGACCTGAGCCGGGTGACAGCGTCGCCTGCCATGTTCGATGACGCCAAGCTCCGTTGGCTAAATGGTCAGCATCTTCGTGCAATGCCCCTGGAGCCTCTGTTGCCACTAGTGCTTAATCGTGCCCTAGGCCACAAACACGCAGCGGAACTTGTCTTGCGCGCAGGTGCACGAGGACCTAACGGCACGAGGCCTTCTACAACAGACTGGCAGCGAGGTTTCTGACAAGATTGGAGCCTTTCTAATGGCCGCAACGGTCGCCGCCCAGCCCAAGGCTGAATTGGTCACTGACATTGCCGACATGGCAGTCGCAGCGCTCTCGCGCAACACCGTGTCTATTTGACACTGATGACCTTCAGTCTTTGAAACAACCCAGCCTGGAGCGCGCATACTTGGTGCTTCTTGAATAGGTATCCATTCACAGAGACGCTCGGTAGCACTGAAAGCGCAGAGCAGAAGCGCCTCAAGACTATCCTGGACGATGACTTCGCAGGCTTTGCTGTTGCCCTAGCAGCATCCTTCGATAATCGCGAGGCGCCAGATTACTGTTACGATGCCGTGCTCGCAGCGGATGTGGATGAATCGCTTGTCCTTGAATGGCTCACAAGGGTGGGATCTAGAGAGAATCGATACAAAAAACGTCTGCTGATGCCGGCCCGCCTCGCCCTCACTGGCTCAACGACGGGCATCGATGTTTCTAGCCAGCTAAAACTGCTTCAATGCGCCCTCGACGCTGGTGTTGACGCATCTTTCCTGGTCCCTATGCACGAGAGAATCAGACAACTTAAAGACTGGGCCATCAGCGATATTGGCGCTGTTGTAGGGGACAATATTGGTGTCGATCATCCCAGGAAAGAACCGACAGCAACGATCATAGACCTAAAGACCTTTTCCAAGCTTCGCATGGTCTATGAGGCAAACCGCCGCAGGGCCGAGGAAGATATTGAAATGTTTGAGATTCTAAAAGCTGCATACGAGCAGCTCTGAAAGCGACTCATGCATGGAAGCACCGCATCATACCTCATCTGCACCTCACTTACATCCGATGTGCAATCTGCTATCTCCGGCGTTATTGAGCTTCAGCCTAAGGGGCCGACGCTCGTGCCTTGTAGTGCCCAGACGCGGCGAACTGCCCTTTAAGGTCTAGGCTCCTATCAACCAAACCCCCCAGCCCGCTCCCCAAGCCCGACCCCAAGCAGCGAGCCCAAGCCCAAACGCGGAAATACTAGGTACCTCCGAGGTATCCTACGTGGGATTTCGTGAGGCGGATCAACCACAAACAAAAGGGGTGCTGAGAATCGACTCGTTCGAGCTCTAGAGCTCCAGCAAGCTCACAACCGATGCCCGCCATGGAATTCATAACGCTGCTACACCACTGGCACCTGTGGCTGTCGAGCCGGGGTATGGTAATTTTATGTTGAACTTCATCACACCCCGGAGGTCAACAAGTCTGACAATAACCAGGTCACCAGCCGGTCACCAGCGTGCTGCTATTCGCCGCGTCGGCGTCCCGACAGCTTCGCGCGGCCTCAGAAGGTCCACGGAGGACGGTCACTAAAAGTGTGCAAGAGAAAGAAAGAAGAGGATACCACATCCGCGTATCCTCGTACAAAAGATACAAGTGAGCAACTAAGCCGGCATATATCCACTGCACTATGAACCTCAAGCTAATAAGAGAAGTATACCTTGAAGGGACAATTCCCGCTACAGCGAGTCCCGCCGCGGCGTCTCCGGCGGGCGCCAGGACCTCGAGTCCGAGGCGTCGGTCGCCGTCTACGTGAACCGCCCCCACTACGCCAAGTTCCTGGAGGCCATCCTCGCGGACCCGCAGCACAGGAACATCCTCGAAACGCCCGCGCGTCCCCGACGCTCGTTCCGCGGAAAAAAACGAGCTCCTCTGGTACTATAACTTCGCTCAATTCGGACGGGTCCGGACGAACCGAAAGTCGCTTTTGAGTTCCTACGCGCGCTCCTCGGGATAGGCGCAGTCTCGGAGCTCGGCTCGTCGACGGCAAAATCCCGGTGTCGCCCCCTAATGCCATGCCAGTACTAATAGGTTCGCTGGCATTCAAACTTCGGCCATTCCGGTGGTATTTGCGATTATCCCGCTGCTTACAGGGTGCTCTGTTCTAGATATACATGTTTGTGCTAAAAGGGACTGCCAAACTTCTCACGGCCTGAGAGGGAAGCCTTGGGGGCAGCTCTAAACGGGTAAGACGATCCACCACCGCAAAGCCCAGGGGGGAGCTGGTAAGTTCCTGGGCCTGGAAGGGCCTCCTCCTCGTCCTTTGCGGATGTAGATGTTGCCTTGTCACGTGCACAGCGGGAGAACTTGACAAATCCAGAAGTTTTTTTTCGGGAATCTACTTGCTTTTTGCACGCAGATATACCCACTCCATACTCGCCAGGGCCAACGTCGTTGTGCACGCGCAAGAGTGGTGGTCGTTCGCCCTGGCCGAAACCCATGCCGTTGTTGTTTGATTTTGTCGAGAGAACCTGCTTGCCGACTGACGAAGGTATGACATACGCGCCAGGTCCTGGCGAGAGCCGGGCTTTATCTTTGATGAAATGACCCTTTGGAAATGAATATTTTGGTGCGTTGTCGTCTTTCGGATTAACCTGTTTTGGAGTGTACCAGCCAGGCCCAGGCTGTCGTGCCGTTTCTGTATCAAGAGCGCGAAGCATGGGGTTGCCGAACTTTTCACGGGACCGGAGGGAAAATTGCGGTGCCGAGTGTATCTTTGAATCAGGTACATTCCCAAGAATCGTGGTCTTTATCGAGTAAGCGCCAGCTCCAGGAGTTGGCTCCGCCTCAGAGAGCCGCGGTCGGATCGCAGATCCGAACTGATAAGACGGTGATGAATGTTTTGTCGCATTGAATGAGTCAATGATAGAGTGATCCAATCCCAAAGAAGTGATCGACTCTTGTTTCACCGGTCCCATGTGTATGTACCAGAAATTCACGCTTGCGCTGTATGCGCGGCTGATATGTGCAGGTGATATAGCCGCCAGGATATATCAGCCAGGATATTTAGGATACAGAGGAGAGAGACAGAAGATATATCTCGGACTCGAGTACGAGTATCGTCTGTCGCTGACATCCTCTTCTATTAGTGTGCGCCTGAGCGCACCCCAGGAGAATCTTCTTTGGGGGGGGGAGTGGTGCATATGTCAGGGAGTATTCCGGCGCCTTTCTTTCGCTTCGCGTTCGCGTTTTCCCCCGCGCTCAATTGCAGGGGTCAAGACGTTATGTGAATTGGATAATGCATTGACTGTCATGCTCTTATTGAGTATGGTGATGGCGAAGGTTTTGCAATTACGGATTGCGCCCGATGGTATTTAAATAATTGGTTCGTGAAGCTCCGCTATACCGAGGACGGTATGAATCAAGTTCGGGGGCCATTGTGGCGGGGTTTCCGCCTTCAATATCTACCTTTAGCTTAGTTTGAAACTGGCATTGCAGTGCTTGTATCCGCCCTATTTATCTCATTATATCTTTACCTTACAGATACGCGTCGCCGTATCTTTTCTCTCTTTCTTATCTCACATCTAGCGAGGGCTGCCTTGGTGTTATCCAGGCTGAGAGTCCGCGCTAGTGCTACTAGAATACCCGGGGAGATCAGAGGTAATATCTACTTAGTTCTATAGTTGAAGGGCCTTACAATCCTTAAACATCGGTACGCTAGCGAAACGGTGCCTCCGGTTTTCGGTACGGGGAGGACAGCCTCGTGGGCAAAGTCTTTGGGGGCGCGGCGGAGTATAAGGACCAGTGCTGGTCCCCCTTTTTGCTCCTGGCGCAAAGCGTGGCTAAGGATCATTTGGATCAGTTCTATTATTGTGCGCCTGAGCGCACTGCCAGTGGCACCCCAGGGAAGTCTTCTCCTATCCAGCCGGCCCTATTCTTTTCCTGGGGGTTCTAGACTAGGCTAGTCCCCGAGCTGGGTGGAGCCCATGTTGAAGGCACACCCAGGTCCTAATCCAACTACATCATTCTATATCTTGTATCATTCCTTAATATACAAGGAATGATACATGTACAGAAATATAGATTTTTTAAAAGGCTGGTTTATGCTCTAGTATTACGAAATGGTTCCGCCCCCCATCCTTGTTTTAAAATGGGTAATGAGACACGCGTAGGCAAATGGCGGAGGCGGGAACAGACTGGCCGCGAGAAGGGTGCTCTAGGAGGCTTTCAAATGGGACCGGTTCTAAAACTAGGCTTGCTAGCTGTCGGATGCTTCCTAGCTGTCGGATGCGTCGGATTCAACGGGCATGCATCGCCTGGGAGCACGGAGGCGCTCGCGGCTGCTCAAATCGCTGGAATATTTTTGGAACGGGTACTGAATGCATTCCCATTTGGGCCCCATCGCCTTCTCCGCAGGAAGAATATTGAATTTGACTACGGTGTTGTGTATGCAGCAATTGGACCTAGCGCTCTTCAAAAGGCATCCGTTTCAGTTGCAAGTGTGCGAAGCACTCTAGGCTTGAGCATTGGCACGTTCCTGGTGACCTCCGGGAGTGGACTGGCGTCTTTGGCACCACATGCGGAGTCATTTGGCAGGGCGTTCTGGTGGGACTACGTAGCGTCTTTAGATGGTTTCGGTATCAATTTCACGGCTTTGCCAGAGTTTGAGGCATTCACAATTGCTAAGAAGACATCGCCCTCAGGCTCTGGCATTGCTTCAACAACTGCGTCCAATCGCAAGACTGAGAAAGAACGCAAAGTTACGAAGCCTCTTGCATGGGCAGCAGTACGTCAGCTCCGGAGCGCGAAAATGGCGGCTTTACTGCTTGCTCTCGAAGTCTTCAAAGTTGCCACGATTTTCTTGGATGCCGATACACTCGTTTGTGACTCACTGCGTTCTGTATTCGAGGTAGTCGTGCCATCAGGACCGTGGTTTGCATTCGCCCCAGCACCTTCAGAGCATCATGGTATGATACTCCAGCGTATGTATGGAATCAGGAAGGGTGATGCGCCACCCGAGCCCAACACTGGTGTGGTGGCTATTTCAACCTGCGATGGCGCGAGACGCGTGTTGAAGCGGTGGAACGAGATCTACTGGCACGAGTCTCTTGCTCTCGGATCTATTCAAAATCCGATGGACCAACCGCCACTCCGAGCTGCGATCCACCTCGAGAATGCGTCATGGACTCCACTCAGCCAAGATATCAACTGCCGAGGCCACGTCAAGAACGTAAATGCGGCATTGCCTATGCGGTGCGGTGGTTTCGACGCTGCCCATTGGGAAGCGCTCGCAAGAGCTTCGATCCTGGATGCCGTTGGAACGATCCAATTAAGAGGTGCATCATTGAGTTCTGCAAAGGACATCAAGGGTGGAGTCGGATGTGCCGTTCTTCATTCCCACGCAGTACCGAGGCACGTGCGGTCGCCTAGCAGCTTCCAACATAATGCTCTGGTACTGCTCGATGACGATTCAAAACGACACAAAATATTTGGCTTTGGTCTTGAGAAAGTATCAACCGCGCCAACACGGGGGTCTAGAGCCACGATAAGATCAAAGATTGATGATGCCGATGATACTGCGAAAATTTCACTCCCGCAACCAAGCGCCGTTGTTGCTATATTTCACCTTGATGTTTCTCCAAGACTCCCCCGATCGCCTCGCTCCGTGCAGGATGCGGTGGACTGGCGAGGAGGCAACTGGAGGAACCAGACCGAGCTTGTGGGTTCCATGGCCAAAGACGCATGCGCCACGGCGCTGATGCCCTGCGCTATCGTGCTCGTGCTCGTGGACCCCCTCGTCCAAGTTGCTGCTGACAAAAGTATTATCGAATCAAAGGACTTCTTCCAGAGATTTGACACTGGTTGTGACCAAAATACAAGGTCGCTACATCACCACACGAACGAAGTCATGCGCGAAGGTACCACTCTCCTTGATGGCCTTTTGCCCCTGGCTGCTCGTGATCTGGCTTTTCTCAACAACCCCAGAGGCGCGCGTGTTGATCGATATGGTCCAGGCAATGTTGCAGAAATTGCAGATGCGATCTCCAGATTGGAAACAGAAGCTTTTCTGGTCCTACTTGCGGACACCTTAGACACCTCCCAAAAGCTCCTAAATCTAGCACTCAAACTGCGACCTGAAGCCCGCAAATTGGCTGAAGATTCCCTCCTCTCTGTCGTGGCACACAATACCAGAGGCCGCCTGTCTCTCAAGGCCATCAATCAAAGCACGATGAGCTCCATCCACCGTCTTCTGGTCCATGATACGATGATATATGATGCTGCTGCTAGGTTGTTCAAAGCACAGTGCGTCGCAGCACAACACAAAGGAGCCCAGGATCGCAACTAACAAGTCGGGCTGGTGGCACACGGGGCCCGCACGGAGTAGGCGGTTTTCGGGGCCCGGGGGCGACGACTCCTGCGGGCCACCCAGGAGCGCCCGCAGATTTATTCGCATGCGTGGGGCTCAGAGCCATATTGGGAAAGGAGTTCGTCTTGCTAAGGCTGAAGAGGAGCCTACCACGAGAAGTTTCCTGCTTTCGCAAGGTTCAGTGCAGCCACCCTACTTCGAGTTACCTGGAAGGAGGCCCAATTTGGGTACTACATCGTCCGAGTATGATAGGAGTGGTGCTGTACTTCGAACACCACCTAATGAACCGAGGGCCAGCCCCCCCCCCGCCGCCACCGCCACCACCACTGTTTGGGTAGAGAGATGGGCCTGACACAGGTCGTAACTTGAAGTAGATTTGCTCGATTGTTGACGCTCGTAGGGAGAAATACCCCAAACTAGGGTACTAAGGAACGTTGATGTCAACGTTACGGGGAAGTGCAGTGTCATCTCCATAGTGTGACGTCGCGATAGTGAGGGAACAGGGTAATGTAAATTACGGGGATGATGGGGATTCACGAGGCTACTCAATTCAGATAGATCCCTTTTTCAAGTTCCGCGAAGCCGAAATACCCCAAAACCCTTACGATTTTGCGATTTTAATTTCCCCCACTGCCTCGCCCTAGTAAATTGCCCCTCAAGCTACCAAGCTAGCGACTGATTAAATGATTCTGCATATTCAAACATATATCTCGTATCTGTAACATTAGAAACATTCCAATTTAGCGGCTGATTAAATGATGCTGCATCCATTCTAGCACCCGCTTCTAGCACCCACCTAGACTCGCTACTTTCTACGCTACTTAGACTGCCTTTAGCCTGCTTGGCTTTACTCAGGCGCCGGGGCCGCGGGCGGGCCCCAAAGAACGCGTCGTATATCACGCGTTCGTCGCAAACCGAGATCCCCTGCCAGCGGGGCCCTCCTGTCCGGATACACTACTGTTTTTCACTTGAAACGCTCGCACAGCAGGGAAAGGCGCTTCTGCGGGCTGCGCAGAAGGGGCCGGCGCGCAGTGCCGGCACACCGGAATGTGCCAACAGAAGCTGGACTCGACTGTATTGGCACACTCCGGGGAGGTCGCTGCTGTGCTGGCACAACTGACAGCACACGAACACTGTTTCTGTTTACACTGGCTGGCGCCCTGCCTCCCTGAACGTGATCCTGCGTTGTGCCAGCGATGCTTGCTGCCTTTTGTCGTCTTCTTTGGCCAAAATCATCCCAGCTAGCCAGATTAGTTTCGGCTGAAAAGCAGTCTGCCCCTCTGAGATACGAAAGACCACCTCCCAGGGGGGAAATGACTCAGAATCGATAGTTTGTGCATATCAGGCTGCAGGGTCCTTGTCTGTGAAGACGAGGCCGATCACTCTAAAACAACAACAGTCAAGCAGCATGTACTAACAGTGGCAGATATTGGCTATACACGCTGAGTCGAAGTGGAGCGTGTAGTTGTCGAAACTCTGCCAATATCGCAACCTCACGAAATAGAATTCAACTTCTCTGGCATAGCGGTCGACAGAAAGTCTCAGTTTTGTAAACACAGTAGGTGCGCAACATATCGACGCAACCCATGGTGAGCAGCACTCACCCATGCTTACCGCGTGATGTCTAGGGGGGAGGTGCAACCACGTCAAGAAGCGCGGACACGCGCCCTTCAACCTAACAGTAACTTAAGTACTCTATTTTGGGCAGGCAATTTGCGGCGCGGTCTTCAAACTTCGTTAACAAGGTCCTTGCTCATGCCAACGGCTTGTTCACCACCAATTTCGGTTGCAGCCATGGGTTCACCCAGAGAGCACCTAGAATTCAGCGAGGGAAGTCAGATTGCCTGAGATAGTTAATTGTTTAGAGCTCAAGCCACACTGATCAAGACAGGCAATGAGGGCCGTCTTGAAGGGCTCGCCCATGGGCTGGATGCCACGGCATCAGGGTTGAAAATATAGTTTCCCTGCTTTCAAGGGCCCAAGCTGCTGGGACCTGCATGTATCGCTGAAGAAACCGACGTACAAAAACCTAGCTTGAGTCAGGCTCCTGGCGCAGCAGATAGAATAAATTTAAGCACGGGATCAGACATGCATCGAAGGCGGTCGCATTTCATTGTGATCACCATCCACTGCGAGGATGAATTTGTCACCTGATATTGGAGAACATCGTTTAAAAAAGTTACGAAGCAGTGACACACCCGCATAGTTTGCGTGAAGCAGATCAGAGTGCCAATTTGAAATAAAAGAATCGGCACGAACTACACAGAAAAGTGCTGGTACATACATCTTTGCGACATGGTCGATTGGCGCCTAAGAGGAAGATGCCTAGGGTCTACAGGTAAAATGACCCAGGACACAGAATATAGACAATATCATTTATGTCAACGTGAGCTCGATTCAAAATAGTTGATCTTACTAGTCGCAAGACACCAGCGACAGCAAAGTTTGGAATTCTAATGGAGGAATTGGCTGTCGCTCGTTGAACAAGCTCCTCTGCGAGCCTGGATGATAGCCGCGGTATCAAGATTGGTTCTTTTTGAGGAAATGATGCACGCACATTCGCAGCGATGCGAATGGAGAGTCTAGCACCATTGCGTCAAGCATATTGTCCTCATCGGCATATAAAAGCGCAGTTACCGCACCTAAAATGCGGAAACACGAATAATTCGCTAGCTAAGGCAACGCTTTCTAACCCATGCTACGGCCCCAAAATGCGATCGTTGACGTTGCACCTGTGGGAAGGAGATCAACCTTCATCGCGGAATAGTGGGAAGGAGATCAACCTTCATCCCGAAGATATTGGACGACAGTGTGAATGTCAAGACGCTCCAATGCTCCCAGCGTGACATAGTCACCTAATGAAAAATCAATTATGAGATTGTCACAGGCCAGCACAAGACCATCTGAGAGTCCAGAACCAGAAAAGTCAAAAGAAACGACTGCAATTCCAAGGGAAAGACATACTGAAAGTTGCGGAAGAGCCTCGACGCGAGCAGATCTAAAAATTCGATTTAATGCTCGCCATCAACTGTGTACAACTCTGCGATAGACGCATTACCGTGCATAAAAATAAGCGTCGGCAACATGCGTGCTAGAGGCTCCACGGCTCGCCAGCGGGAGCAAGCGAGGGCATGTCCATGAAAATTATACACATAAAAGTCCTCGCGCTCGAATGGCCGGCCCAAGAACTCGAATAGTTTAGGCCCAAGTTGATGCGGGGCGTATTGTGTTCTTGGTGGTCGAATAATTGCTGCAACCACTTGCTCGTATGCTTGTTTTACCTGCTGAACAAAAGACACCGGTTTTGCGTCCGACATGACGCTCTACACAGAATAAAACGAGGCCGGCGGAGGACCAGATTCCAGCTGCAGGTTGTGGGTTACGATTTCGACCAATCGACGCCTTCGGGTCTTCTAGGCATCAGCCATGTGCCCGCTTTACCTAGACTGCTCGCAGGCGCGTAGGCCCACGCACGCTCCGAAAAACCCGACGAAAGGGACCTCCCGGACTAGCCGGATCCGCCGGGCACGCGTATGCGAGCGCAGCAAGCAACAGGACGCCGTACGCCGAAACACGCCCCCGAACGGGCCTCGAAACGCGCGGTACCGGCGCGGGCTGCCGGGAATCGCGCCGTACTACGGGCCCTTTGCGACGTGGGCAACCCCCCAGCTCCCCCGGGCCCGACGGACACGCGTGGGGCGCCGGAGCACACAAACNCGGCGCGCCTAGGGCGGCCCGAGCGCCACGACGGCCCA